TCCAAAAAACAAGTATTAATTTTTTTGTAAATGCAGGCAATTTTAATTTTTTTTTTTTTCAATCCTTAACTTTCTTCTTCGTCAAATTTTTATTTTTAAAATATCATTAATTAGAAAATCTTGTCCTTAATCATGATTTCCATCCAAAAATATTGTTAAACATGCAATGAAGGTTAAATATTTGATCACATTTTCACATTATTATTTGTTTTCTTATTTAAAAATGCAATGGGTAAATGAGTATTTTTACTTAATTTTAAAGAAAATTTTGGAGAGATATCATAATTAGGGACAATTTATGTTAATTTGATATTTATGTTAATTTGATAAATAATACAATTGGTTTTTTGATACTCAATAAATCTGGGAGATGATGAAAAACAATTGTCAAAAATTTACCGACACCGTAAACTTGGCTCTACTCGAATACTACCGACACTTTTGGAAGGTCCAAGTTGGAGATGGATTGGTGGTTGTGATTAGTTTGTGGTTTTGGATTATTGTTAGTCCATTAACTTAGCCCATTTATTGTGTTATTTAGTTGGCCCCATTAATTGGTTCTTTGGCCCAATTATATGTGACCTAACCAATTGATATATATTCCCATCATTCCCGAAACGTGAAGTGTGCTGCAATTGTGTGAAGTTAAAGAGGGTAGCCGTTCTTGGTGGTATTGAGTGAGACCATTGCCTCCTTCTCCTCTTCCGTTCTTTGTGGTTAATTGCATCAACCATTATTGATCTTTTGTGGCTTAATATAAGAGTGAGACTTCTGGCAACCTGGTGGAGGAAAGTATTGGTTCGAGCTTGAGTCGTGTTGTGTCGATTGTAATTATTTCTGAGTCCGGGAATTGAAGTTTGGAGCACCAAAATTCAACATTTGGTATCAGAGCAGTTTTTGGTGGTTTTGGTGGTGAGTTTCCGGCCAGAAACAACCCAGAATTCGACAGAAACTAAAGCAGAAAACTGTCCAATTTTTTCCCAAAAATCGAACCTGTAAGCTTGATTTCGGGCCAAACCAATGGCCATTTGAAGAATCCAACACCACAGGAGGCATCAGTAGGTGGTGGCGCAGCTGGGTGGTCAGCGCGTGAGATTTTTCGGTTCGTGAAGCCCACACGCAAAGACTGTGGCGGCGCGTAGGGGCTCCTCTGGTGAAACGTCCTTAAGATAGAATCTTTATGTTGACATTTCTAACGATTTTGTATTGTTAGTTTTGTGTTTCAGGGTATACAGTGAAATCTGAACAATTTTGCCCCTGCGTTCGTAATTCAATTTTCGCTCAATTGGTTGCCACAGTTGTTGGAGACTTTAGAGCGAATAGTGGTGGCCCTAAAGTGATAAGTTCATATCTCTCGTAATTTACGGACTCGGATAGGTCCGCTTTTGTTAATTGGCTTATCCCGTTTAAATTTCAGCATTAGCGCGTCATCGTATGAGGTGACATTAGGATTGAGGTTACCGTGAAGGGGTAACCATTGCTTATGCTAGAAATTTAGGAATTAATTGTTCTATTTGAAGTGTTGATTGTAACTGCAAGTTGATATTTGCCTCTATGTTTAATTGCGTGAGAATTTTGAATTTTTGTTGATATACCTTCATGTTGTATTGGCTATTCCGTTAGAACACCTAGACTTGACCCGTTCGAACATTCCCTTGACTTAAGATCGTGAGTCTTAGGAAACCCTGAGAATCTAGAATGGTGTATATTGTTGCCTTAGGATTACTCTGTATGACATATTTATGCATTTTTGGGTAATTCAGTTTTTCAAAATGTTTTCACATTTCGAAATTAAAATTTTCAATGGGAAATGAGACTTTTCAATTTTGCAATAAAAAATGAAGGGGATTTTGGTTCAACAAAATGTTTCAAAGGCCATAGATGACAAATTTCCTGCAGATTTAATAGAAACACAAAAAGAAGAATATGACGAACTTGCTTACACTTCAATTATTTTACACCTATTCGACACCGTTTTGAGAGAAGTTAGAAAATTTAATTCTACTAAAAAACTTTGGCAAAAGATGGAAGACTTATATTTGCTTAATCTACTCCTAATAAGTTGTACTTGCTTGAAATATTTTTTAACTTTAAAATGGATCCTTCAAAGGATCTTAATGATAATCTGGATATTTTTAACAAGTTGGTTCA